AGAATATTGAAAGTGCCATGGGCTGCCAAAAGAATCAATAGATTCGTTTTGGAAGAAGTGAAACCAGAGTGGTCCTTGGAGGCCAAGATGGCCAAACTTCGTCTCTCATACTTTGGACATATTTTCAGGAGGGACCAGTCGCTGGAGAAGGATATCATGTTTGGTAAGGTGGAGACACAGAGAAAGAGAGGAAGACCCCCAATGAGATGGATTGGCCAAGTGGCAGCATCGATGGACTCAAGTGTGGCAATAGTAATGAGGTTTTCCCAGGATTGGGCAGTGTTTCATTCTGCTGTATATAATTTCGCTATGAGTTGGTACCAACTTGATAGCACTGAACAACAACATCAGCCCTCGAACAATGAGCAGGTGCATTATCCTAATTGGGGAAAAAAAAAAAAAAAAAAAATTCCTTGGTGCAACTCCCCTGGCTTTTTTCTCACCAATGCAGTTTTTAGTTTCTTAAAACTTTTTCACAATAAGCTATTGTATTTGTTCTGTGTCCTTTGGGAAAATCTATCAAGATCCCTTTGAGATCCCCCAAAACAATTACCAAAACCTTGTGAGCTGACTTCTCTGCCTTGTATTGGCCCAGCAGAACCTGTTGTTGTTGTTAAGTGCCATCAAGTCAGTTCTGACCCATAGCGACCATGTATAGGGTTTCCAAGGAGCAGCTGGTTAACCTGAACTGCTGACCTTGCAGTTCAAATGGCTTTGCTTTCTGGCACATAGGAGTCACTATTTTCACTGTACCTTTTTGTGAAGGTACCCTAACAAGACTAAGGTAAATGTGTTACTGAGATAACGTGTCTGTATCCATCCAAAGATCACAGAGACATGTATAAACACATTTTATTTGAAATAAAACATACATGTATGAACTGGATTTCTAGTAGCAATACTTTTTGGTTTACCCTAGTACTGTTATACACACAATAAACTGTGATAACATTATCAGGTAAAGAAAGCCAAATATAAGAAAATAAGGTTAGAGAAAAATAAAATGAAGTCAGGAACAAAATTATTATGCAAAACAAATGTAATACAGACTTGGACTCTTGCTGGAAGTCAGCTACAATTTACAGATTGTTTCATAAGCATCTTGAAAACAGTATCTGTAATTTCACGTTCCCATAGCATCTAGAACAGTGGCTATTTTGGAAATATTTTTCCTGTATGAAATAATGCTGCAAAGTAATGCAAATTTTCCATATTTGGTTTTGAAGCTGAAAAATGATAAGAAAAATATAAAATGACTAGACAAGAAATGAATCATACTTACAATTTCATTGTAAGTGGGGTCAGTACATTTTGGAACAGATTTTGTTTTCCTCCTACGAACTTCATTGGGATATGGTAAAAGATAAAATTCAACATGTGCACTGGGCGCAGAGCCATCTGGGAGATGCTGCAAAGGAAAATGGTTATAAATATTAATGCATGTTGCTATCAAAGAAAACAAATACAGAGCTACTAAACATCTAGACCAAAACAGGACTAGGACTTCTTACAATCACTCTTTTCATCAGAAAATAAGAGAACAATCAAAGAACTATTTTATTGCTCAAAAATAATCCCAAATCACAGTTTAAAAGAGTAAAATTGTCCATCTTAAATTAAATGTTGTGTCAAAGGACTATACTTAAAAGCCTATGAAATATAATTTACTCTAATTATATTTTACAGTGAAAACTAAATTTGCATTTTTGACAGAAATAGCCAAGAAAGAAACAGAATTGAATACCTCAAGGTACTATATACCAGTTGTTGTTGTGAAGTGCCATCAAGTTAGTTTCTACTCACAGTGACCCTCTATAGGGTTTCCAAGAAGCAGTTTTCAGTTAGCTGTCTAGTGCTTAGCCTATAGTGCCATATCAGAAGTCCTATATACCAGTAGGGGGAAAAATCAATTTCAACATATAAAATGAGATGTAGCGTTTAATACACGAGAAGTCCTGGTAGCACAGTAGGTTAAGCATTTGGCTGCTGACAGACCAGCAGTTCGAACCAACCAGCTGTTCAGCAGGAGGAAGATGAACAGTTAGCTTCTGTAAAGATTTACAGCCTCAGAAATCCTCTGGGGCAGTTCTACTCTGTCCTGTCAGGCCACTATGAGTCAGAATTGACTCAGCAGCACAGGGTTGGGTTTGGTTTGGGTTTTAGATAGGGCTGTATAATATCACATTCAAAGCAGAGTTTAATTAAAATACCGATTTCACCTGTATCTTTAATATACTTACAACATTTTCAAATAGTTACAATCCATTTCTTAGCCAAATTACTCTAAAATATATACACCATCCTTTATAAGTGTATTTCTGTGGATCTTCAAAAGTTACCGAAGGGGTTACCTGAAATGCAAAGTCAGTTCCTCAATATTGGGGTGCCCTAGTACTCCCATCTCACCTTCTCTACTTCCACTTCAGAGATGCACTCCTTCCTCCTATTTTCAATCTTTCCTTCAAATCTATTATTGATATATATATATATAATTTTTTCACCATTTGAAGAATGAAGTCCACTGTATCAAAGAGTATAAAACTCATTACACTTGAAAATAAATGGATTAGAAATGTAGTAAGTGGGATTTTATCTTTGTGATCTTGACCATATGGAGTGCAAATAGTTCTAAAGCTCTGGATATCTAGGTTGATCAAATAAGAAATAATTATATAATTTATACATAAAGTGGATAAATTAAAAGTCAAACTTGTGGGAGCAAGTGTTTATTTTGTTGACCATATTCTAGCCACTAAATCTGTACTTATCAACAAATATATTTTTAATACTTTAAAATACAGTGATGTTTATGTGTGCACATTCAGTATCACCCCCATCCCTAGTTCTAATATCTGTCTTTTGCATACTGCAAAGCATATTGGAAATCAAGAAAATATGAGATGCATTATTATCACATTGCTATCCTGGTGTGGTTCTGTAGGATCAGCACTGAGCTGCGAACCACACGGTTGGCAGTTCAAACCCACCAGCTGCTCCTTGGAAACCCCGTACAAGGTCGCTGTGAGTCGGAAACAACTTGATGGCACTTAACAACAGTTTTACTCAGGTCTAATTTATATAGTAAAAATATGTCACAGAAAAATATTGACTCTTTATTGCCAATAACAAATTAAACATTCCAGACATATCTTTATGTCGGAACAATCAGATTGGGAAGTGCTGTTTTCAGCAGAGCTCAAGTTTGGTATCCTATTCCAGGCATCCTTCCCCACGAGAAGGAGCTCTGAAATGACAGAACAGAATCTTCAGTGACACCCAAAGAAGTTGTTTATTCATATTTGAGAGGGTGGATCCTTTTTTCCTTTTTCCTATGGGAAGAATGAAGGAGGTTGCAAAAATGGTGTGGATTGTCATGTCTGACCTCCTTGACACGGAGAAGAAGAAGCACACTGATCATCAACCTAAGGCTGATTCCTATGAGGCTGAGGTCAGACATGCCTCTACCGTCTCTACTCCTTTGACAACTCAGATACCAACCACCTTTCCTACACCACTAGCTACTTCTTAGCAAGGTGTGAAAATCCATTTCAATGGTCACACAGAACTCTTAAAACAGACTCATGATTAAGGGACATATTAGGGATGTTGATAGGGCTAATTGCGATTATAAAAACTTGAAAATTTAGTTTCAGGATTAGAAATGTTCAGGACACAGGTCTTTGGTCAGGACAGCCTCTTCTCAGCCATAACCTCAGGCCTCTCTCTGGTCCTTGGACCCTCAGCTGAACAGTTCCTTGGCCTCTGCCCTGCTTAGGAAATGTTACAAAACTTTTATCACTGCCAACAATTGCCCAAAGGGAATTCCACTCTGTTATAAACCTCAATCTGAAGGTATTTAGCTCTAGCTTCATGAGTCACTAAATCTACATCCCCATATTAAATGTCTAGAGGCACTTCATTCCACAAAGGAGCCAGGTATAGGCCAAGAAGGCTGTATAGGCTAGAAAGTCCATCGTTCTGTCTCATGCTGTGGCTCTTTGTTCTCTTGCTGCTGCTATGATTCCACTCCTCTGCTTCTCCTCTAGTGTCATAGCTTTCTGTTTCTGGATCAAGGGGGTTCAATGTTCAAGGGTCTATGGGTCCAAAGGACATGCCCCACTCCTGGCTCTTCTTTCTTTTTTTTTATATAAGCTTTTAGCTTTTATTGTGAGTTGAATGATAGTTGATAGGGGCAAGACATCAATTTTGCACTCAACCTGTTGTATTTTGCTTCTTTGCAATGACTGCAATCCCCCCATGCATGGTTAACAGTATTTGCCTCTATCGCCCCACCCCATTTTTTTTTTTTTTAATGTACACAAAACACACAAAATACATACTTGTTTAAATGACCAAAGGGCATAGTTTGAAAGCCATCCTCTTGCCCGCTGGTACACTGCCTGTCTCTTTCTTTCTTTCTTTCTTTTTTTCTTTCTTTCTTTCTTTCTTTCTTTCTTTCTTTCTTTCTTTCTTTCTTTCTTTCTTTCTTTCTTTCTTTCTTTCTTTCTTTCTTTCTTTCTTTCTT